AAATGCCAGGAACTGCCTGCTGAAGCTGTGGAGCCTCACCTCAGAGGCTGTGAAAAATCCATCCAGGCACAGCTCCAGGCAGCCTGCAGCAGCCAATTCCTAGTGGTCTGTTCTAAACTCAAATATCTTTTGATTATCTGAAGTTACTGGATTAACTCAAACTGGCAAAAGAGCAGATACATTTTAAAACATGACATAATGCAGCTTGAGAATAGTCCACTACATTTATCCATGCAAAACAAGTACATAAATAAAGGAAAAAGAGCCCAACATTTAAACGTAAAAAAATTTAAGTCTAACAATACTGCTGCACAACAAGCTTAAGAAATCAAATCATGAGAAAAAAGAATTAGCACTATTGGAAAACCAAGCCTGCTTTGCCTCTGGACTCATAGTAAAAAGAATCATCACTATGGTTGGGCAAACAACACTAAGCTTTACTACATCTAGCTGAGTCTAGCAAGAGGGTCTATTAATAAGCATAAGTTTTGCTAACTTCCTCTTTAGACAGCAGTTATTCAGGCTACCTCAAATCAGGAAGGGATTTTAGGAACAAAGAACACAAACCAAAATGGATGAATGACGACAAGCAGACTACTGGGACCAATTAATCAAAACAAAGTTGAAAATGAAGCTTTCCAGTTTCCTTCAAAGTCCACTGTCTAAACTGCACTGCATGTAGGCATTAACAAAAAGCAGCCAAGCAAAATATTAGTTTATATAAATAATGCAGAATGGATAGCACAGTTTCATCGTAACTTACATTACAAAACTGCAATACAAATCACACCATCAAATTGCAAAGTATCATTTGGAATATGCAACTCTACCTTCCTTCTCCATATCACAAAATGCTGTAGAAGAACTGAACAATGGCAAAGAAGGAACAGTAACCAATAGCATGAAAAGAAGTATTTCACATGAAAGAGTTGGAAGGTTTATCCAAGGAAAAGACATTGGGAGACCTATGTGAAAACACACACCAGACATAAATAACTTCATCTAAAACTAAGCTGTCAGATGACAGACCAGCAAACCATTTAGATAAGGTGTGCTCAAAATTAAGATGAGAAAGAAATCCCTCTGCTACTTAGATATCAAATTAAGATGGAATTTTTTGTCCAGATTTCCCCCCTCCCCCTCTACCTAGCCATACTCTGCTGCTTCTTATTTGAATTGGAAATCAGAGTGCTTGGTACAAACATTACAAAGGATAACACTGAAAAAAAATGGTTTTAACACTAATTTCTCTTACAAATAAAAAAAAAATAAGAGAAAAGTTTCTGTAAACCGAAATTGAACATGAGGTTAAAATAGCTTAAAAGTCCATTATTTACTTCAATGCATGTAACTAGATTAACGTAGCTGCAGGAAAGATTGTACAGCAGGCAATCTTTCCAGAAAGATTTAATGTGCAGAGTTGTTACAGAAGCCAGTCACCTTTAGGCTTCTACAAAAGCCACATACATGAAATTAAATTCCTACTTCTAAAGATGATGGAATCATAGAATGGCTTGGGTTGGCCTTTAAGATCATCTAGTTCCAACCCTGCTGATACAGGCAGGGACACATCCCACTAGACCAGGATCACAAAAATAAAAGGACATCCCCTGTTTTAAGTCCTAAATCAGCTACTAACTCATAACTCCACTGAAAAACTCCACTGGAAATGGACACAAACATCTGCAAGCAAAACCCTTATGCTGTACTGCATGGTATGTTATAGTTAGGAGGTGTAAATGCACATCTTTTACTCAAGTATGAAGGACAGACCACAAGTCTGAAATGAAGAAATGACAAAGTTCAACATGAGTTTAAGTGTTCCATACCACAGAACTGGAGGTTCAACAAAAAGAAAGTACTGTCAGTGACTGAACTAAATAAGCTGTTCTGATGTCCACATAGTCTATTCATTGCCCTGAGCCAATGAAGAGATGTCTGCAGATCACTTCACTTATTGGTTAGACCATCCTCAAGTATCCTACACACCAAATTTTTAAATGTAAACCTTGTCCTGACATCAATTTCTAAGACAAGAAAAAGTAAGGGCCTACGGGATTATCAAGACATGCCTTTTACTGCCATTGAGTTTTTCCACCCAACTTGTTTCTCAAGCACAATGAGCAAAGTATGGGCTGCTTTTCTGAGACAGCAGGCATGTTTTTCCATAAGTTTTACACTTAGCATTAGGAACACTTCTCTTCTGTAGTTGTGCATCAATTAGCTTTGAAACTAAGAAAGGAAACCAGCAGTGCATTATAAAAGCTCTTGGTTTCCTAGCCTATAAGTAATACAATTAATACTGTATACAAATTACATTCAAAGATTTTGATCAAAACAGGAGTTGGAATCAGTTGGTCCCCTAAGTCTGTGGGCTCTACACAACAGGAGCTCTTTCAACAACCATTCCAAATGCAGTAACATTGGTAGTCGTAGTTACTCATCCCATTTAGCCAGTGTCCATCCTGCACTCTAGAGATAGGCCAGCTGCCCCACCTGCAGATTTGGCTCCTCTGACTCCTTATCTACCAGGCAGAACAGCTTCTTGGCTACACCCTCCTCCCTTCTGCCTTCCCCTGTTTTGCCTTTCACACACAAATATCCATCCCTTAAAGAAATAACAAACATACACCATGCACTATAGTCTAGTCAACTCCTCTCTGCAAGGAAAACATGAAGCAATGTACAACCACTGGCTGATCTCATACAAAAAACTTAAGTGACACCTATGTTTCTGGCAACATCTAAGTAAATCTGTAATGAGAAGAAAAGTTCAATTCTGCACTGCTATGGTTAAATTAACAGATTCCACAAACACCTGGGTCCCAGGAGTGATTATCTGGAACGTTCATGCCTCCCCAAAAAATCAGCTTTTCAGATTGCAAAAATCTTTTTTCCCCCCTCCTCTTAGAATAATTAGAATATTAAGCTTTATATTCCAAAGGAAAAAAAAACATACAGCAAGGAAATTTTCACTGTTCTCAGATTCATTAAATGTTTACCTGCCACTGCCAGTTTTAAGTGGCAGTTAGTTTGAACAAGAGACTGACCAGATTATGTGCCATGATCAATACTATGGGACTAGGGTTTTCCTCTAACACTGAAGTCACACTGACTTTATCCATTAGTCATCCTTTTCCCTCCCTACCGCATGTCAGCTAATCCATCAGTGTTCAGTGAGAACTACACTAAATGCATTCTGCCATTTCTGATACCACATCATGATTTCAGTTGTTTGAGTCTTGCTCTTATTTCAGACAAGATCACAAACAGCAGACAATGAAGAATTAATGAACAAAAAAGCCCTGTATGACAGCTGCTGCTTAGTTCTTCAGGAGATTTAGGGTGCTTTCAGATATTAAAAGAAAGAGCACTCTTTCAGCTGCAGTTGTGCTGTTTAAAGGAGACACTTCTGTATTTGCAGCCCCTCTCTATCACACGCACATAGATCATCTAGTCAAGACAGCTGTTTGATGCAATTTCCCCTGGACCTAAACCTAAAGCACAACAACAAAAAGAGTACCTTCAGCATCACCCAAACCATACTACATCAGATCACAAATAAACATCAGCTATAACTTTTATTTCTTAAATAAAATGAAGAAAGAATTAATACAGGGCGTGGTGTCTGCATCTCCCCAGTCTCAGAACTTATCCTCCTTTCCAAAGCAGGCTGCAAAAGAACACAGCTACACAGCTAGGTCCCTTTTTTTTCCTTCGTCTCCCTCCACAGTTTTCTGAAGCTGAGCAAAGTTTCAAAAATATGGGTGGAGAACACTCCCAATCTCATCTCACTTTAAGACCAGTGGTGCATTTAGCCATCTGGAAGTAGAAGATTACTCCAAGCCTCCTCTCGTTGACTATTTTGACTACTACACCATTATCAAAACAGTCACATTTTTAAGCAAAAGAATCCTATCCTGGGTTACTAGGGAACCAGACCCTCAGAAAACAACCAAACCTATATCTCTGTTCCACAAACAGACAGAATAGCAGACACCTGTGTGATTCCTCATTTCTAACTCGAGTGGCTTTCAGCTCATCCTGCAAGCGTTCCCACAACCTCCTCTGCACAACCCTGTTTACTCCTCATGCAGTTCTGTGCAGCTCAGGCATCTGGCTCCAAGTATCTGTTTCCCTTCTCTGAAATACATCTGGACATCAAGTGCCTCATGCTGGACATCAGCAGCACTTCATACTTCCAGCTGAAGAACTTCAGAGCTTACCCATGATCACAAAGTTTAAACACGAGAGTGCCACACATAGCTCCACAGCAGCATTCTCACTCAGTTCAGTCAGAACACTTGCCTTGGAAACACTGTTACTGAGATGGGGATTTGGAGGTGAATTAGCTTTGTTTTTCCTCTTACTTCTCAACATTAGGCCCAGTTGATCTTAATATTGACAAAGAGTTTTCAAAGCGCATTTAAAAACTCCCCGAGCTGCAGAAGTTTCCTGGAAGGCTTACCCTTCTGCAGGGCTGGGTAACCGCTGTACTTTATAAGCAAGAAACAGATAAAACAACAAACGTTTTTTAGTGTTGCTTTTTTTTTTTTTTTTTTAATGTTTTAAGTTATGTTCTAAATAAGCCAACTTCATGGCTATTTGTCATTAAAGCAGTTATAATTACCCACTCGCTAAAATTGGAGAGCCAAAACCCTCCTGTCCTCAGCTTGCACAAAGCACTTTCCAAGAAGAACACGTGTGCAATACACAGCTGCCTTTGACTTCACGTATACACACACGCGGCGAGAACGACTAAGATCAGTACCGGCAGAGGGGAGATTTGAGCGTGCTGCTATTCGCACTGAGCTTCGTAAGCACCATTCACGCCTTTATTTCCCCACGACACGCGGTGCCAGACAGCTAAAAATACCGCCGCGGAGCGCACCTGCTCCTCTCCCGCAGCTCCACCTCGGGCTCCGAGAGCCCGGCCCCGTCCCCATGCCCGCAGCCCCGGGCACGCCGCCTCGGCCGGGAGCGGCCCCGCAGCCCCTCACCTGTTTTAAAGGCCATCTGCTTGTCCTGCCCGCCGCCGAAGAGCTGCAGCATGGAGACGAAGAGGACCCCGCACGAGTTCTGGATGCCGAAGACGGCGCCGTTGCACCACATGGCGGCCAGCATCACCACCCAGCCCCAGCCGCCCTCGGGGGGCTCGGCCGCGTCGCCCCCGGCCGCCGCCCGCGGTACGGCCGCGCTCTCGTCTCCCGCGCACCGCTCTCCGCCGTTCTCCCGCCGCGCTTCCATCGGAGGGCCGGAGGCGGCCGCGGGACCCCCGTCGTCCCGCGGCGGCGGCCGCTCGCTCGCCGGCGCCATCCTCAGCCGCGCCGCTCCGTTCTCCCGGCAGCCCCCCGCCCGCCTCAGCCGCTGCCCGCGGGAGCTGCGCGCATACCCGCGGCGCTTCTGTGCTCGCGCGCGCGCACCCCCTCCTCCTCAGCGCTGCCCTTCCCGCCCCGCGGCCGCCGCTTTATTTTAAAAGGGGGGCTCCCGCGGGGGCGTCAGCGGCGCGAGGAGGCATCCCCCGCTCCCATTGGCTGAGGGCGGGGAGCGTGGCCTCCCTTCCCTTGTGTCCCCCCCCTCCCCGCCCCCCCAGCGCAAGGGGTGGGGCGGTGCCGCGCCGTGTCAGCGGCGGCGACGAGCGCCGGTGCCGCCGCCCCTCTGGAGGTGGACGCGAGGCCGCTGACGGCCCCGCCGCGCGGCTGCTGGGGAACGGGTGGGGACGGAGCGGGACGGGGAGTAAACAAGCCCCTGGCCGCGCTCCCGAGCCTGGCTGGCTCCTCGCGGGAATGGGCAGTTCCACCCGGTGTCCCGCCGCCCTCACCCTTCCCGTGCGCTGAGGGGAAAGTAATAATCCCACCTTCGCTGTTTCTCTGTTTTGTCTCTCGGTGTCCTACTCCCTCCTACAAGCCCGCGGCCACGATGGAAACAAACCTCGTTCCAAAATACAGCTCGGCTTCACAGACCGTGCCTTGTTTTGCGCAAATTCCTCGGCCGCTCTCCACGTGTAAAGCAGGAGCTGAAGAAAGTGAGCCACACGATGATGTAACGATGTAACGAAAGCCCAAGTCATAACACACGCCGGCCGAGTAGGTGTCTTCTTTACGAATGACTGGCTGTTGGAATTAATTGGCCTTTGAATTCCTAAGCCTGCGTACTCTGTGTCCTCCAGAATTGCTTTAAAAGAAGCTAATTTAAAAGTAGTTAAAAATACAGTTATGATCCTAATGATCCACGTTTTATAGAGGCACAGATCTTGCTGCACACTCCCTCTGTTGCCCAGAGAAGCTGTGGGTGCCCCATCCCTGGAGGTGCTCGAAGCCAGGTTGGATGGGGCCCTGGGCAGCTGAGGTGGGGGGTGGCAGCCCTGCCCACAGCAGGAAAGTTGGAATTGTATGATCTTTAAAGTCCCTTCCAACCCAAGCCAGTCTATGACCCTGTGGTTTGTCTTTTTGACATGGCCATCCAGATCAAGCACAAAGAAATGGTACGTACATATACAAGAGCAGCAGAATACAGAAAAACTAAAAGCCTGTAACAAAAACTTAGTACAGCTGTATAAAATGCATAAGAATTGTCAAAGCAAAGAGGATTTTTGGGCAACTGGTGAAAAACGCGTTCCCCCAGGGATCAAGTTTTATTCTCTGTGAAAAGCCCCAAATATATCCCAAACAATTTAACAAGCAGAAGCTAACACCCAGCATCCTCCGGTACCTCTGTCCCAAGGCTGTTCTCCAAATCTTGCTGAGCTTTCTTACAGTAAGTTTGGCTTCACCCAGCACCAGGTAACTGTTTGAATAGTTCAGACAGATAAAACCCTTTTTGGAACCAGATTCGATCTTCAGTACGCTTGCCAACAATGATTAACCTAATTAAACTTTTCAGTTGCATAGAAATAAACAAGGGCAAAATCCAAGACTGAGACTTAGTGTGGCTGATCAGACAGGTCATGGTTCTACAAGCACTTACATATATTTCTGTTATGTAGACTCCTCAGATCACTTCAGCCCCCTTTGTGAACGGGGGGCTGTGACCTCTATGGTATATGGACAAATGTGCTTGTAGCAAGAACCGCGTGGGTTTTTTTTTCTGTTTTGGATGGTGCTCAGCAAAACATAAGACTAATTATTTCTCCCTGTGTTTTTCAATATAGTACTTATGTGTTACTGTTTCATTTCCCTGTTTTCACATAAACACTGTCAATTACTCCTCCAGCTTTTTAAAAGTAAAGGATGTGATTTTTTTTAAAACCATTGTGAACATATTATGTGCAACTTCTGCTTCAGGACATTTTCATAATGGATTCTATTTTACAGTTCATAAGTGTTGTTTTTCCCTGAGTTAGTATGAATTGACTGTTTTCCCTTTCTCCTCACATTGTTGGGAATGGAGACTCACAAACGCTGTCTCTCTGATGCAAATGATTTTTATAAGCCTGACGGATGTAGTCAATTTGTATGTTCCTCCAGTATTCTCTATCTTATTGAGCTATTTATACTGTCAGAACAACATGGTTTATGTTATCAAACATTAGGGTAGGTGGGGCTTTCCTTTAAGGGAGCTTGCTAGAAGTCTTAAGTAGACATCTAGGGAAATTTAATACCACTTTCTCTTCGGCACACTGTGCTCCTGTCAAAAGCTAAGTCTCTTCCCTTTTGAGAAAGGTCTCTAGAGATCTGAGCTATTTCCCTCATAGTTCTCAAGAACAATAAAGAGTCACTCTTCCGAGTTAGATAATTTTCAATCTCCACCTTCCATAGAAAATGTGCTTTGCAAACAGAACATGAGCAATTTTAACCACAGTTCGATTTCCATACATTTTTATACCAAATAATTCACAATAAAAATATTGGTCTTCAAATATTTTAATCAAAGAGTTGGGGGTTTTTGCTGCTTGTTTGTTTGCTTTTTTAAGAAAAAGACTAGTTGAAAGAAAAAATATATACCTGGTATATTAAATACCTGATATTATAGATAATATATGTCCGATATTGAAGATATACCTGAAAATCAGGCCAATTTTTTATGGCTCTGTTATTTGTGCTCTGCATGATCGCAAGATCTCATGAGAAAGAAAAACAATAATAGAAATAACAGTTAAGCAGAAACAAAAGTGAAAAAATAAATCAGCAGAGACTGAATCAGCTGACAAATAAAGATTTTGAACTAAGATGTGAGAAGCATCTTGGTTTTGTCCCTGTTGATTCATTCTTGCTGATTGTCATTCACTTGCTATGGTGGTGCTCAGGCTATGCCTAATTTTGAATCAATATAGCAAATGCCCATTTCAGGTAGGAATTTACCCAGTCCTTTCTAGGCTGTCAGTAGCACCTTCTGCAACTCTACCTGAAATTCCAGACAACAACCTAGTAAATATTCACTCCCTGTATCACAAACTATTGAAAATAGACCAGTTCTTCAGCAGTTCTCACCTGTAGTACATGTTTCAATTACCAAATACGTAAAAAGATAAAATTATTGCCAATATAATTCAAGTGTGCTGTTAGTGACATGTCAGGACAGCTTTTTCCATAAATCATTTTATCTGTAGAAAATTTTAGACTTACATAGTATTCTGCAAAGGTAAAGAGGACAGAATGCCAAGTCTGAAGAGTACGTATTCAGAGTTTTATTTTTTCTTCTTCTGTTGAGTAGTTTAGAATTCGTACTGCACTCAATGAAAAGTGTATGCCTATGCATTGAGGAAAAAATAGGCCTTTAGTAAAATGCTTATTGTGTCCATCAAAAATGCTCAACCTTTATCACAAATCTTCAACAGGAGGAACAATAGGTGCAAAACCAAGAAATTCTGCACTGTATGGAGAGGATAACGCAGAATTCTGCAGCCACTTAGAGTAATGCATACGCTTAATCATTAAGCCATCCAGTCGTTTAATTTTCAGCTAGTATTTATAATGCACCTATTCAACAGAAGGATTTGGCCTTAAGTCAGAAAGATGAGATAAACAGGATGGCCATTAAAACACAAAAACACACGCTATCACCAACTGTGTGAAGATCAGCATCAGATTAAATCCAGTTCAGTGAGTAGTGTTTATGCATCTCTCAGCCAGACAGGATGTTCTACTGATGTTTCAGACTGGGCTCCTGCTGAGCAGTGTGTAGCACAGGGATTGCATCTCACCGTGCAAGTAAGTCAGTCACATGTTCCAAGATACAAAGAAGAGACCTGTGTTCTGTGGGGAGCACTGGGAGGGTCAAGCCATTGTTTTAGCATTTGATAATATGCAGTAAGAGTTTCCTAAAGGGCTATTATTTGTCAAAATATAGGTTCCCTCCTACTTCACAAAAAGCAAGAGTGTTTTCGGTTTTCATCATTTCTAAAGAAAAAGAGTACAAATAGAGATGGAAAGAACAGCCTAATATCTAATTAGTGAAGCTGAGAGTAAGCAGTGGTTCTGATTCTCACCCTTACGTTCATTTAAAACAACAGTTCCAGACTTACTATTTTCTTTTCTGAGTTCACCTAAAACATACGTTCTGTTTCAGGTCTCAGGGACCTGAGACATAACTCATCTGAAATTAAGTTTGGTTTTAGTTTTTTCCTTCAGTGATGGGACTTGGCAGGCTGTTATCTGGGACAGTTAGAGCTGCTGTTTATTGAAGGTAGTTAAGTGAAAGAAAGTAGTAGCGATTAACCCATAAACGCTCTCTGCCACCTACAAATCTCCAGTTGCACAAAGTGGTGTATTTGATTGAAGTCTTTCAGCATTGAAGTCCTTTGTTCTGCCTCCTAACGAGCTACACTGTGAGCATCTGATCAGAGCTGGTCATCTACGCACTGTTTGTAGGAGGGAAAAGGAAATTCCAGGGGACAATTCATAGGAATTTACTTTAAACATTAACATTTATGATGAGATAAGTGATATTAAAGGAGACCAGATGAATAACTTAGATGTAGGTACGAGAACTCTAGGCATCTAAGATTTTGGTAGAGTTAATCCCACCTTCAGATACCAAGTGGAAGATCATCTTCAGATAACTTTTATGCAGATTCCAAAAATGTAGTTTGTTTTGATCCCATTGCAAAATGAGGAAGCATGACGAATACATTGTCCTCATGTGATCATTCACCTTTTCCTTGGCAGTGAAATAACGAACACTGTTGGCAACATTCTTATTCAGCTTCAAAGTTAACTTCTGTTTCAAATGAGTAGGAACTGCTTCAAGCCATTGTTTTAGGCTGTCTTTTAGGCTTGGTTTGATACCACTATGCAGGTCAAGTATTTAAAAGCTTCATCCATTATCATAGGATCTAAGCACCTCAAAGTCCCTTCCTTTGTTTACATACGTTTGATATCTTTCAGACCACCTTTGCAATCTCAAGAACTCAATTTTGCTTTAAACAAGAGTATGGAGTATCAGAAAAGCAAATCTTTTATCAAATAAATCTGATCTGACTGTGGTCTAGCAGCAGATTTTGTTTGCCTGCTCAGTTTCTGCCTCTGCCAATACTCTGCAGCAAGTGACCAAGAGCAGAAGTGACACTGATCATGATTGCTTGCTTTTTAAGATTATCCACGTCTATTCCAAGTAAATGTACTTTGTTCATCACAGTTTGCTTTTTGTCATCTTGAAAGTGCTTCAGTATGCAAGGCTGGAACAAGGGTCAACAGATGTTGTGGCCTCATTTCACGGTATGATTTATAACTCTGTCAGCACTTTGCTTACTAGGTAAGCAAAACCATGTATCTGTGTGAGTCAGTTCAAATATGAAGGCGCATTTAAACTGTTAACTTCTGTGGAAGTCTTTGCAAATTGAACTGATTTCTATAGAGAAATACAAACAGTAGGATAAAAAAAATGTCATTCGAAGGGTAGTGTAAATATACTAAATATATCAAGGAATATTTTTCAGATTGGGTACATGTTTGCACTGAAAAAAACAGATTGTGTTGTTTTAAAGTATAAAAGAGATAAACAAGTAAGAAAAAGGCAATCTTCTTTTTTTTTTTAAGTTACTGTGACATCTCTACATCCATTTCTTAGCTGCTACTGGAAATCCTGATTTTAAAGTGAAATATGCCACATCAAAAAATCCATTCAGTTGCAGGTCAATTCAGAACAAAATTTACATACTCTCTATGGTGTGACTTTCTCCATTTGTCAGATATTTTACTCACAATTCATCCCCAGTCTAGTAACATGGAAAAATAGTTTTTAAGAAAAGGAATATAGAACTGCTTCGTTCAGCTTATTTTTGTGAAGTAAATAATGTGAGAGTTGCTCTGAGTGCCATCAATCATCACCTCTCTTAAAAGGAGAACTGAAGTACTTTTGTATTGACAGGGATTTTTTTTTTAAGTGAAATAAATCACATATCAATGCCCTTTCTCTAAATGCTTAGTTTACCTAGTGCTAAGTAAAAAGGTATAATTTTCCAAAAAGTAAACACACATACAGATCCTGCACTTTCTAGTTATACTCTTATAAAAGTCCATCCCTACTAGACAAACAGGGTAATCCTTACTTTAGCTATCATGCAGTGACGCAGTGTCTTCTACTTTAGTAAAACTTTTTTTCTCATCTAAGTCTTCCCTCTTCCTCTCACTAGGGTAAAATGAAGGTAATTTTAATTAAGGCTTAGTCGTATTTTGTATTAAATTAAGCTTCATCTAAAACTTTCCACTAGAAATCTTTAAGACTTCTACCTTCTTCATCTTCTAAGCCTTTAAGAACTCTTCAGCTGCTTGATAATCCGGCACATAGAGCACCATCCTTAAGGGAAAAAAGGTATGACAAATCAGCACTATGATACAAATCCAAACCACTTAACCCACAGGAATGATTCCTAAGCACATAGGAATTTGATTTATAACCATGTGCAGTTTCAAAATTCACTGTGATGGAGTCTAGTGCAGGATAATACTGTGCACTGACAAGATTTGGCAGTCATTAAGACCTATAGCGCTACTGACTAGGCCTGAAAACTAGGCACTGTCTGGCGTATAACTCCAAATTTAGGGTACATTTGTTAGGTAGAATGGCATCATTTATTATTAAGTCATTTTCAGTTTCCGTTATTAATCTGCAAAGCTGTCGGATGGAAAAACCACTTTCCTGGCAGTTCAGTGAACCCAGCCATAGTCAGAAGTTAGAGACACAAACCTGAGGTCTCACCTTAGCTTTTACAGAGACACTGCTATTTTGGGATGACCTGCAAGGGGATTTGTGTGTGCTTTAGTTTCTTCTCCCTTTGCTATTCCTAGGATGCAGGAGCAACACAAGAGAGCTAGCCTTATGTATTCTGGCCAAGATGCATGCTTTTTATCAAGCTCATTTTAGGGAGCAATCTATGCATGAGATACTAACTGGAACCACTAATTGTCACACGTGGGTTGATTTCTGATCCCTGGGTAGACATCATTTTGTTGCTGTTGTGTTCATCCTTTGCTCAGGCATTTCAGAGCCTCTCTGCTGCAGGCAAACCAAGTGTCACTACCCCTGAATTTCTGCTGCAAATTGCCAGGTACAGATTCCCTACGTAACCCCACTGTCACCACTGTGAGTTTTTTCTGTCCCTTACCCTTCACCAGCCTCTCTAATTAGTCGGCAAATTCTACCCTCATCTGCTTTGCTGATCCCAATAACATGGTTTCCTAAGAACTGTTTTCAGAAACAAGTTTGGTGTTGAAGCAAGGGGCACAACCTCAATGCAGGAATTTCTTATCCATAAACACATGAGGAGAGTGATAGGTTTATTTGTTTTTAAACAAGCTTTTGAACATGGTCCCTGTGGTCTGCTCAAACTATTCCCCACCAGCAACAGATTCCAGGACGCCTTTGAAGCCTGAGGCCAGACAGCCCTCCAGATTTCCTGTCCGACTGCTGGTTTCTGGTGCCATGCATGCTCTTTTGCTCAAGGAAACGCTTTCTTTTGTTGACCATGCATGGTTTCACAGGGCCCTGGCCACTAACCATGCAGATAGAGCGGCATTCCTCTGACGCTTTATCTCCAATAGCTCAGGAAAGGACCTTGAGTTAAAAGCTGTTAATCACATTCTCAGTCTAGGAATTCATTCTCATCACAGTTCAATCATATCAGCACAATTGGAAAGTCAAATTTCAGTCATTCTAAATACCAAGCATTTAAGATTAAACCAGCATTTCAGGGAGGACTCTTGAGTTCCACTTCCCACTAATTTCTTTCTTTTCTCCCTTCAGCCCTCAGTCTTGTGTCAAGGCAACTAAACTTTGAGCCAAACAAAGCTAGATAGAGCTTGCTTCATATCCTATTTATGCTTCTCAAGGCAAAAAGATCACCAGGGAATGAGTTAAGAAATCTTCTTCCCTGTGCTTGATCAGAACTTCTGCAGGACAGCTGGGGGCCGGAGCAAAAGGGCAGCTTGAATCTCCTCACCCCTTCCTGTGGAACTGCACCAACCCACCATGCTGTAATTGGCTGTACACAGCCATTTCCCTGTGAAAATGAAAGAGGAATTAAGATAGGGAAAGGATAATGCTGATTGTGTAACTGTAGTTTCTACATGCTGCACATCACCCCTGAAGCACTCCCCTTGCTGAGCTGAGAACCTTACTCTCATTTACATTATTTTCTGCTGCAACCTTTGCTGTGAACCTACTACAGAAATCTGTAATTTATTACTTATGCTATCTGTACCCGCATGTTCTGTTTTCTTGGGGTTTTTTTTTCCTCTTCAGAAAGTAAACAGCTTATTTCCCTTACACCCGTAACAACAATCTAATACTAAACACACATATACATTAAAATTTTCTTCCATTTCAGCTATCCACACTGATGCATAGCAGGACACATTGATGTGAGAAGAAGCATTCCAGAAACAATGCAGATTTTACACTATCTTCAGACAGGGATCAGGAGGTCTTGCACTGCACGTTCCAGCACTTCCAGCAGCATAACAAAGTGCTGAGTGTGTAGATTAGAAGAGCGTTAAGTGCTTTCCATTTGATGCATAACAGCAGTTACTTCACAGGCTCAGAAGCATTGATATCTGACCCATCAGTCGGTGACATGAAAGCTGAACTCAATGTTCAGAGGATCTTCTACATTCAGTGTGGTGTTACGGAGCTCACCTGCTAGAAACTCCTGCTCTCTAAGCTTTAAATGCTGCCTAAATGTCCAGTTACCTAATTAGAGATAGTGAGAGCAGGAATTGCCATCTGCCGGCCGAGTCAGGAATGATCTGTGCCTGCAATTCATTTCTTCATCTGTGTGGCTAAATTTGGAAATGGATTTGAGAATAAGAGATGGTGTGACGTGGAAACAGGACAATGCAGCTTGCAGCCAACTCTGCACATAGTGCATGGTGCTGCTCAGCCTTGCTCCAGGAAGGGCTGGGGAAAGACAGAGAAAGGGAATAGATTTTTGGTGATCCGAGACATCAGTGGGTTTATTGAGGTGTTGATTTAAAAACAGGTAGTCAGCAAAATGATTGTTCTGTTGTAGGAATCTTGTACTTTTGAAGGAAGTTTGGATATTGGGAAAGATTTCTTCTCAGAAAGAGCAGTGAGGCAGTGGCACAGGCTGCACAGAGAGGTGGTGGAGTCACCTGAAGTCCCTGAAGGTACCCAATAAACATGGAGATGTGGCGCTGAGGGATGCGGTTAGTGGGGATGGGCTGACCGTTGGCCTAGGTGATCCTAGTGACATTTTCCAACCTTAATGATTCTGTGATCCTATGAAAGTGATGAGTAGCCTTAGTTAGAAATTAACTTCTGCGTCTCACAGTGTTTTCTGCATGAGAAGAATCAGGGGAGGGTTATTTGACATCTTGTCTGGCAGACATCCACTAAAGGGAGACAACAGAAAATGGAACCCCCTATTTATCTCCTCACCTGCAGGCAGAGGCACCCTCCCAGCCACTGCTAATGTGTCACAGTGTCCTCACAATCTTCTCTGGTTTGCAAATATCCAGTAAGCTCAGGGTGCCCTAAGCCATGCACACTGCTCCAGGCATGTAAAATACAAGTGAATGATCACTTCCCTCAACCTGCAGGCTCTGCTCTCTCTGGCACAGACCAGTGAGTTTTGTCCTGACTGCTGCAAGAGAAACAGCATATGCAGCTCCAATATTGTTACAATATAAGAACAATCTTCTCCTCTTAAGCCTCTCCACATAGTTCACAAATTTATACATCTGTGCTGTATTTCCCTTCAGCTATGCCTCTTCCAGGCTGAAAGTTCATTCAGTCATATATATATTTGAGTATCAGAATGACTTTTTCACTCTAACATAATCTCAAGGTCTTACTTCTACATAGCCTTGGTTAGCTCAGAACAAATCTATTAAAAATGGTGATGTCAGAACCATTCATCACTGGCACTTACCAACAGCGAATTCAATTTGACCAGCATTAAAATAGCATTCTCAAAAGGGTCTCTGGATATTCTTGCACGTGGTGCTGGTCTCTACAACACCAACATATCCATCATCAGAAAACTTTGACGGGGCATTGTGTTCTCAAAACCATCAGTCAGTGTTGCCAAATCGCAGGACAAAGATTCCACAGAATACGGATCAATTCCAATTAAAAAAAATACAGGAAAGTCCATCCTAAATCAAATTGCAAGTAGTGGAACAACTTGAATATAGACAGCAATTGGAAAGAAAACTAGCAGGTTGCATTCATTCTGAGAAACTTAAATGACAAAAAAACCACCCCTTCTTCCATGTATATAAAATAGTGATTTCTAGTAGCCTATTTTCATTAGAAGGCTCACTAGAGAGGTCCTGGACTTGCTTTGTTTCCATCTCTAGCAACAGTAGTTCACTAAACAATATTATCTAGCAGGCTTATAGAACATTGACCATCATTAAGAAGAGAAAAATCAAAATGTTGCACGTCTTAATTAGCCTTGCAGCAACATCTATAATAATGCACACGATTCTATTTACCACGTTCTCAGGAAGAATGTAACAGAACAAGAAGTAGTACAAAGAGGATAAATTAGTAAAATGATACTGCTTTGAGTGAGAAGCATTTAAATTAATCAGACCCTTTATATTAATCAGAACCTTACAGAAATAAATCACTAAGGAAGCTAAGGCCTATTAAGTCATGACTGGCATGAACAGGCGAAAGGAAATGTTTATCTGCTAATTTTCAAATAGAAGAGCTAAGGGACATCCAAGAGAAGAATTGAACCTCAACTTTAACCCAAAGATTACTATTTCACTCAACAAAGCTAAATTACGGAACTAGTCAATACAAAATATTTAAGATGACAAATTGATAAACTTAAACTAATAGACAGACACCAAAGAAATAGCCAGTAATAAAAAAAATATCCTCAGCAAACAGGAGATCATCTCCAACTCAGGACATTTATGAACTGCAACTTTCCCTATACTATGAAATAATGGGAGAGTTATTGAAATAGAACTATGTTGAGTTTCTCCTTATTCTCTTACTCTTATCCAAAGCACAGGACATTTAACTTCATTTTAAATTCCAGGGTGATACACAAATGCAGCTTAGTGCTACCTCAGACAGTGCAGTTTATTTTCCACATCTGGCTAAATCTTTTTGGAAAGGTCCATCTCTAAATCATGTCACATCAGATCAAAAGAACTCTTGATGTGAGTTGAGCACACTTGTGGTTTTGGTCTTGTGACTTAAGTGCTGTACTTTGAATTTTCACCTAACTGAATGTCTTCAACTTAAAAATATTAGCATTGCTGTTTGAACTGTGAGCACATTATTTGGAATACAAAGGCACAAAATGTTTCCACTGCCACGAATCAGCTATCCCCAAGTCTCCTATCCACAGAATTTTCTTTCAGTGAGAAGTTTTGGCTTTTTGTTCTGATTAGGAATACCACGAGGCCTGAAAATGTTGCAATTCCCAGAAGTTCCATTTTCCTCACTGCTCTTTTCTCATTGCAGACTACAAAATGTCAGCATGCTTGTAAAAGGAAGGCTCATATCGCTTACAAACATTCATCCTGTAGATATCGTTGTTTAAACATCTGCTGATCTTCCATGGTCCCATTAAGATCTCTCCCACAGCAGTGAGCTGAGTTGGATTTTCTGGTCCACAGAACTTAGACACAGGAATTCCCACATCCCACACCCAAACCATCAATATAAAACAACAAACCACTTTCATCACACAAGTACTTCTTGGCAAGCATAAAATACAAAAGAGGGGTAATGATCCTCCAGACAAAAACAGGAACGCTTGTTCTCATTAAGGGTTTCCCTTGGATTTTACTCAGCGCAGTAAGAAACTGCTCAACACTCCTCAGCAACCTGGAATTGCAAGTAAAGAGAAGCCCTCAAAAGTTAAGAACTGGAGGCACCTTGTTTTTCATTTTTTGTTTGTTTGTTTCAAGGAGAAGCTACCACAAAGAGGGAAAGCCACATCCAGTCTCTGAAGAGCTACATGTTACTTCAGCCTCTTGTTGGGGACTTCTTGTTCAAGCGGAGTTTCTACGATGCCTGATTCAGCAGCGTTCTGGGATCCTTCTCTGCAGAACTTAGGTATTACTGTCCAACAAGAAATAAGTGATTGTAAGCATTCAAAACTTGCTCTTGAAGACTGGACTTTGCTGATTTGGCCAAGAACAAAATGACCTTTAAGGCAAATCACAGTGAGTGCTATAAAGCTGACTGGGCCAAGTAAATATAAAGTTGGGGAGTTGTGGTATTTATTTTTTAGATTATCATAAAAGCCTCAGTTTTTATAAGTGGACTTTTTATGAATGGAACATGATTCATGATCCTTAGATAGGAATTAAATATATATATTGCGGTGCTCTTATGGACACCCATATGGTTATGTGTGTGAGAAGACAGCTGTGTGTGACAGATGGGAAAAGACATTGAAGATCTGCCTCTGACTTTCATTTTATAACTGATGATTTCTTCTCACCTGCAGGAAAACGCTTCCTGTATTCAGATCATCTTCAATTTGTTTTTGCAGATGTAATTCACGCGTTCTGATTTCTCTTTTTCCAGTCTTCCAAGTCAGATGTTCAATGCCCAGGAGAAGACTTGGAAAACCAGAAGGATTCTGATTTCAGTCATCTGGCTTCTGCTATGAGAAAACGCCTCCCCTAAAGCCATCTCTTAAAAGTTTGCCTGCTCTTTCTTAGTGCTCATTTGTTCTGCTTACAGAATCAGACCCATGGAAACTAGCTCCTTACGCACTAGGTTGAAAAGTTCATTCTGTTCTACTTTTTAATAAAACAAAACTTTCCTGTAAGTTCAGCTCCCACAGTCCATCACAAGCCTCATCTAGCTGGCACTGACCAAACGCTGGCACCATTTTAATAAAGCACATTTTTTTGACAAGTTTTTTTCCCTTCTCTGCTGGCATTTAATACATTTTTTTTCTCTCAAGGCACACTGGTCAGGTAACATACATCTCCTGCCACAACCATGAGTCTCTGAAGTCTCATGAGTCTCTGTCCCTTGACAGAATCTCATCCATGAGTTCACCTTTTGCACTAGATTTGTCATGCCATGTGCTGAACAAGCATTTCATTTTCACCTCTTCTTACTGTTCCTTTAACTCTGCTTTTTCCCTTAACAGACAGCTTTGTCTGCACGTGCTTGAACTCTTCATTCACTTCACCACATAAGCCACGGAAGAATTTTTTTTTTCTAGGAATTGACAAAAAAAAGAAGTAATTGCAAAGCCTATCAGCAGTTACCTCCTGAAAACAGCAACAGAGGGCTGGTGGAGTCCAAAGGAGATTTAAAATATTTTTCACAACTGAAGAAAACAACTAAATCTGTCTTCAGAGGAGCTGAGGACCGTGTGAGGAAGCAGTGAAGCTTTCCAAACATAACATACTACCACACACTCCTCTTGTACTTCTGCTCATGCTCAGACTAGGGCAAGCACAACCTCACATTTTATTCAAGCTCATTAAACAAAAGCATTCAACACAGCTCATAAAGCCTTTATTCATAGCACAGCTTCATAGCATCCAGCGATGGAGGAGAGAGGGGAGAAGAGCCTGTTGAAAAAAATCTTTAGAGTAGAAAAAATCTTTCCAGTTAAAACAGCAGCCGTGTAAGAAGTTCTGTCAGAAGGGACAGAAGGGAGAAAGAGACCGTTTCAAGAAGGTACCTGGAATGTTATTTTGGAGATCACCTTAAAACTACTCTGAAAAGATTTCTTTGTATGCTGCTACAAGGCACACACATAAGGTAAAGACTCTGTGACCAGGGCTGGGTGTAACAGATCTGGAGAGGTAATGGAAGCCATCACATCGACCTCACAGGCAGGAAACTCACAGCTTTAGCATTTTGCCTTTGATCACAAAGCAAGTTCCTTCACAGAAAGTTCCCGAGTTGTTGCTGCCACACGTATAAAATAATGCCTGCTTCATAGGGAAAGCTGTGGTGAAGCTCACTCACAAGCATAGGTCCCAAAGAACATCAATTTCATAAGGACAGACACGAAGCACTGATCAGGGCACCATCCCACAGCTGCACCTTTATAACTCCTCACAGCAGCATCGCTGTTCTAGTCTCTTCACACTCTTGTCTGTAAGGTGCATTTCTGCAGCTGTTTTAAGAAATATCATTATGCATTACCTATTGCCTTAAAAAAAAAAAAAAAAAAAAAGCCTAGAAACAGACCTATTTTCTGAAAAAATAAAGCCAGCATAATATTTGGCTCAAATAAAAATAATGTGCAAAGTAGTGGTAGTGTTTGCAGAGTGTGTCAACAGGAGCTTGAAAACTATGACCTATTATGAATTAAAAGCTTACTAGTGTTTATTGGTGTGCTGCATAAGGACTTTGGGGGCCCTATTAATACTTTATAGCAAGGTTTTTATTTATTTTTGTATGGTTTTGCAGCAAGCCATCTTAATATAAACTTCCTGATACAGGCCATGCAAGTGTCCTTCTTTTTGCTCACGAGAACTAAGGGAGTTAAACTTTTCTCTTTAGCCATGTGGCAGTTTGTTACAAATATATACTGCTGAAGAGCTTACATTTCCTTGTTGCATTGAGAATAGGTTCTGTCTCATGCAAAAGCATGACAACATAGAGTGAGGAGACATTTCGCCTACCTCTTCCATCCTACTTCCACATTCCCTCCCACACCTGTCCCTACATGAGAGAGGAACTTTTAAGTGAATGAGCTCAGAAAAACATTAGCAATTTGCATTCACAACTGAGAAGACACATCTCCTGGACATTTTTAGATAAGGAAACCCACACTTAGTAAAAGGAGTAAAATCTTTATCTGAAAAACAGGCAGGGAGGGATGAGGCGTCTGAACTATCTTTTGGCAACAGCAAGTGTTCATCCCCAGTGCACCCATCTATGGCTAACAAAGATAACCACCACTGCAGCAACAATTCCAGAGCACAAAGCAGTAACTCTCCTGCCAAGAGCCCAGCAGATGTTAATGATTTTATTTCACAGATTTAAAAGGGAGAAATAATGCCAGCACCTGAAGATGCCTAGAATTGAGCTTGGTCCTAAGCACAGGCTCATTTTGCTGCCTTCTCCACGCCATCAATGTCAGGAAAGAAGAAAAGACATTTAAAACTGCATTACATCATTTTGCACGCAAATAATTCAGCTTTACTCAGATCTTCGCAGGCAACATGTGGGACAACTGGGGGATCAGACCTAGCCAGCGTAGGTTCACAAAAGGCAGGTGCTGCTTGACCAACCTGATCTTCTACGACTGAGTGACCCACCTGGTGGATGAGAAAAAGGCTATTAACATAATCTACCTAGATTTCAGCAAGGCCTTGACACGGTCTTCCACAGTATTCTTCTGGAGAAGCTGGCAGCCCATGGCTTGGGCAGATACACTCTTTGTCAGAGAGCTGTAAAGAGCTGTCTCTATGCCTGGGCCCAGAGAGTGGTGATGAATGGAGTTAAATCCAGCTAGCGACTGGTCTTGAGTGGCGTTCCCCAAGGGTTGATACTGGGGCCTGTCCCATTCAATACATTTGGCCACAACAACCCCAGGCAACACTACAGGCTTGGGGCAGAGTGGATGGAAGACAGCATGGAAGAAATGGACCTAGGGGTGTTGGTCGATGCTCAGCTAAACATGAGCCAGCAGTATGTTCATGTGGCCAAGAAAGTCAATGGCATCCTGGCTTGTATCAGAAATAGTGTTGGCAGCAGGAGCAGGGAAGCAATTGTCCTCTGTACTTAGCTCTGGTGAGGTTGCACCTCAAGTACTGTGTTCATTTCCTGCAGATTTCCTTGTGTGATCTACATCTCTAATGCAGTGGTGGACAGGACAGCTCTTCCTCCTGTCCTTGGCTCTGGCTCCTGACCTCTGGCTTTAGAGTTTAACTCCTAATTCCTTGTTTCAATTTGTGCAGACCCTCTCACTAAGTGCCTCAATCCCTACATCAAGAAAGCAGGAAATTAAGCAAATAACAGTACAGAATGCAAAAGATATCTGAAACCAATCGTTAGCATTCAATGACATAGTAGAGCAGTCAGAAGAGAACAGCAGAACAATCATCAGGAGCAACTAAAGAAAAGCAGCTCAACTTTGGGACAATACAAAGTTGATCTGGACAGACAGTAGGAAACAGGTCCCTGCAGCTGTGTCCCATTGAAATTGGAGGATGTAAGCAAAGAGAGGCAAAGGGAGAAAACGACAGCAATCAAAACAGAAGACAGAGCACATGGGGGCAATGCTTTTGTAACTATCTTGGAAGGAGGGAGAAATTCAGACTTTCTGGGTGTTGTGTTGCATAACAGGAAGGATTATGGCTATTAGCAAGGGAGAAAGAATATAATGAGAATCTGAGGGAAAGACATTAATTATACATCTACTAAGTTCTGCTCAAAACCTTATCTCTACTTCCCCCGGTCAAGTAGACAGTCAGTCTTTCTTTGTGCTTATCTTAGAGAAGAGGGCAGGGAAGATCAAGCAGACAGAACAGGCAAGTCATAAAGAAAGAGCAATGAACAGCTGTATGTTGATAAACTTCTAAGACATCTGCCATGTTCACTGCTCCAAGTAGGTGATTCCCTTGCTATTTAGAATACCACTTAACCCAAGTTACTTTTAAGCTTTTTCTTTGGGCAGTGCTCCTATCTATTTCTTTGTCCACAAAGCACTGATCTCACCCCTGCCCTGAGATCACCCCGTGATCTCTGAAGTATCAATTCCCAGCCTCCTCAGGTAGGTCACTTAGAAACCTCATGCCCTCCTCAAAACACCTTTGCGGGTTCTTCCCTGGAATAGTGCATAAATGCACAACAGCAGAGTTATTCTTCCTCTAAGGCACTAGTCAGATTGTTTCCTTTGAACATCCATCAGTTTAGAAGGGAATCCTACACAGGCTTCACATTCAGGTGCCTTGTGTCTTCTTTTCCTTCTAAGATTTTAGGGAACCTGACTTCTGCTACAACTCACTGAAATCCCTGTTTCTCAGGGACGTATCAGCCTTACTTAGAAGTACTTTGGCAATGTCCAAGAGGAGACAAGCTGCACTGGAGACACAGGAAAACTATCTGCACCACATGTAGTACACACATTCACATACATTAGGTATGGCTATGTTATTATATATAGCTCACATTTTTCCACTTCCTTCTCTTTAATACTGAAAACGTCTCTAACAATTCTGCTCTAGTTTCCTTCAATTTGACAGCATCTGAAATAAGCAACAGTCTTCAGCCTTTTTTTTTTGCTGGCTGGACAACGCAGCAGTCAGTGCTGTACCAGCTATGGCTGGAGTTTGGCTTCCCTCCCTTCAGGCTCTCTTCTAACCCTCCCCAGCTACAACCATATTAGTGGGGGAGGGAAACCCATCACAGTCAAACCCAGAAAGCACTCAGTGAAAACAAATAAGGTTGCTAAGGAACCATCCAGATAAAACTCAAAACCACAAAATCTGGGCAACAGGAAGAAGTTCACGCGCTGGCTGCAGACAGACACTGCTCATTCCCCTCAGTGCTCGCTCTGTCATGTTGAACTAACAGAGATGGAGGCTGTTATTGCTGTGATCCTATGTGGGACTAATTCCCAAAAATGTGGGAATTCCAAGAGCCCAGCATATGGCATCACTCAGTATTTACCTGCCCCTCCTCCAACTTTTTTTTGAAATCATTCCATACAAAAAGAGCCAA